GCATATTTTAAATAACATTTGTAGTAACATAAACTAGTGTAACAGTAGCAGTGGTTATCACAGACAGAGATTCATAATGCATCTAGGAATGGCAAATTGCTGCATATGGAGAAGTTTGTCAGTTTAGTGAATTGCTTTCAGTAATTTGCCACATTAGTACTTTCAAACATTCACCTGCCAGTAATCTTCATTAGGATTACTAATAGGATTGGAATATTGGGGTCACTAACACAAATACGTTTGTCTGAGTCCTGAACAATAGTCAGAGCATAAAAAACTAAAAATAAGCCTAGTCCAGGCATTAGAATTGCTTCTTTAAGTGCTTTCAAATTCCTCTCCATTCCCTCTTTTTCATCTTCCTGGCCTTCTCTTTCTCTCTTTATTCCCTCCCCATCCTACTCTTTTTTTTTTTTCCACTGTTCTGAATTCATTAGATGGCATAGTGTAAATCAATAGTAAACGTTAACCACCCACGCCATACTCAGTTACGCAACATCGCATAACCGGTACACAGAGACAAAAAGGGAAAAGCACACACAGCTTTACATTCAAAAGCTCTTGCATAATTTTACTTTTCCACAGCCAAAAAGGAAAAAAAAAAAGGAAGTAACAGATGGGGAAACTTTCAGTTTTTTTCCCTTTTCTCAGACTGTTTAGAAAGGAGTTAGCTAACATCTATAGCCATTTCTAGTTACTCTCGGCTGCAGCAACACATCCCATAATTGTCAGAGCCATAACTGCCTTTAAAATAGGACTTTGTGTCCATTGGTGATGTGATGGATTTTCCAGGTAATATAAGGCTAAAATTATTCTGAGATGATTTCACTTTCTTTATGGAAAACCAACAACTTCCTAAGAATAAAATTAATTGTAAAGTAGAAAATAAGAAAGATGACCGTGCATACATAGCTGTGTTTTCACACTTCACGGGAGTGTATCCTGTTGTAATATTTAAGTTAGAAAGCTAAGTAAGCCCAATTTTCTTTTTCTTTTTCCTTTCCTTTGGGAACTATATGTCATCTCTCTCTCTCTCTTTTTTTTTTTTTCTCATGACAAAATACATTCAAACCCCGAAATCTCAATGAACACAACATCTAGATGCTACAACATGGACAGGACAGAATGCTTAAGGCCTACTAGAATTCTTGCTCTCAGTGGCAGTTCTACTGAGCAATGTGGAGCTTCTTGAATTCTTATTTAGTACACTGTGTCTCATTGCTCTCTGGAATGCCTTTGGAGTCATTGCACAGCCTTCATTTAAGTCTCAAATATATCATACTTCCATAATTCCATAATTCCTATCTATGTACCTACCTAAATCCTCTCTACTTTCTTCGCTCCTCTTTCCTCTCTTCTCCCCTCCCTCCCTCTTCCTCCCCCCCCCCCGCTCTTCCCCCTCTTTCCTCTCTTCTCCCTCTTCCCCTCTCTGCCTTCTCTCTTCTCCTGGCTCCCTTCTCTTCTCTCTTCCTTCTTTTGTAGCTCCTTGCCTCCCCCCTCCCGTTTTTACAGTGAAAGGCCTTATTTCCCAGCTTAAATGGGTACACAGTGATATTTGTATGTGATTTATCAGACTTTTGGCCCTGTGAAAATACTTTGTTTCACTTACCTGACTAAGTTCTCTGGGAACCAGGCATTTTTGTCTGATAAGTAAGGTTGGAGATAATTGAGGTTTTATTTTACTCTTCCCTTTTGGTGTCTGCCCATCAAATGGTTTCAAAGTGTATATAAAATGATAGCGAGCACAGCACTGGGCACTGCAGGGATTTGTTAGACTAACTGGTGAGCAGTAGTAATTCTAGCTGTTTCTAAGGCAATGAAGGGAAGGTGAAAGGTGGGTGGGAGAGAGAAGGCATGTGACCATTAGTGTGCACATACAAAGTGTTGAAGAACTGGCCTCTTTACATGTTGGATCAGTATCATACTTTCAGTTCATGCTTTATTTCTGGATGTGAAAACCATGAGAAATTGATTGGTCTGATTTGCGAAAGGTCTGAGGTAAGTTTTTCCTTTATTATTGTGAGATTTTTTTTTTCTTTTTTGTTCAGGCTGTCTCATGTTTTAAACATTTCTTATGGGTTAGCTATTGCAATTTAAAATTCCTTTGTATGGAAAACTCAGGAGCACAAAGATAGAAATCAAAGCCAAAAAGTACTTTGCCTGTTTTTTCAGGTTTCATTGCTTAAGAGTATGGGTCTTGATTAGAACAAGTGAGTGTCCAAGATTATTGCTATTACTGTTTTTGTTTATGTTGATATAGGTTTGGTTTTTTTTTGGTTTTTTTTTTTTTTTTTTTTTTTTTTGGTCTTTTTGAGACATGGTCTCCCTGTAGCCCCAGCTGTCCTGGAACTCACTGTGTAGACCAGGCTGGCCTGCCTCTGCCTCCCAAGTGCTGGGATTAAAGGCATGCACCACCATGCCCAGCCCGATATAGGTTTTTTTGTTGTCTAATGTTAATAAAAACAAATTGGTAAATAGGTTAAAATATAAATGCATTCCTTCCATCTTTTCTTTCTTCTGAATAGAATCTTGGAACTTAGAATTTATTGCAGAAAATACTGACATAAAAATTGGTCAGAACATTCTAGTGTTAGACAGAAAATCATATTCACACATATATTTTTCTATGTACCCCTCTAAATATGTGATAGCTGATTTGAATTCCAGTATGCACCTTTGCATATTGGTCTAGGGTATCAAAGACATTCAACCTCAGCCAGGTATGGTGATACACACCTTTAATCCCAGCACTGGGAAGGCAGAGGCAAGGGGGAATCTCTGTGAGAGCATAGTCAGCTTGATCTAGATAGTGAGTTCCAGGCCAGCCAGGGCTACAAAAAAACAAAATAAATTAATTAATTAAAATAAAATTAAAAATTCAACTTCATCCCTGGTTTTGTTGCTGTGCCTGGCACATCATAGCAGCTTCAAAAATATTTTCTGGGTTCCAGTAAAATGTAAAATGCATTCTTTATAAATTGCACTATAGTGTAATTTTGACATGATTAATAATCTGTAGCCAAAGTCCTTTTTGTGCAGTTCTGTACACAGGAACTTATTCTGAGTACCCTGATTAACAAATGGGTTGCCTAGATTAGAAAAAAAGAAAACAAGAAAGTAGCCTAGAACTCTTAAGGGGAGTCAGCGTTTTCTTGGTTGTCAAAAACAGTTGGAGACATCTGGCTATAAAAGAAGCAGAGGGAAAATTCTGAACATTTTCCCTGCCTCTTTTTGTCAGACTAGCTTCCATTTCCAATTTGGTGGGTTTTCACACTCTCTGAACCTAACCTTTCAAAGTTCACTGTATGCCCACTGAGTCTGCACAGTCCTCTTTGTCAGTTGTAACCACAGCCCTGGGAATGTACAGGCTGCTTGTATTTTTCATTTGTAACACAGGATCCAAGCTTAGGAAAGGCTGGCAAACATAAACTTTCTATTCCTGTAGCATGTGAAGCAGAGAAGAGTTTTAAATATTTTCTGATATTTCATTAGTCCCTAACAACCCTTTCGCCCTGGGTTCTCTTCTCGCTGCTGTTGGCAGTAGTGGTAGGTATTTTCTAATAGTTCAACAAGAACCCCAGTTACTGACAGCTTTTCAGGCAGAATCACTTTGTTGTGCCTTGTGCATAGTCGCAGTTTCATAAATATTTTCTGATTTGGTGAGCTAGGGAGGAGCTTGCTGTAGCTGTTCCCACAGAGCTTATGCAGGTAAGTAGTAAGCCATGTAAGTGAAGGGAGAAGAAGGAATTGGATATAGAGCTCTTCTGATTTTGGCATTAGATATGTCAACCTCTTTAATGTGAAAGTCTTCATTGTCCACTCTCATTCTTCACAATAATAGCAAATTTCAGAAGGCCATTTTACAACTTTCTTGGAGGCTATTATTGACTATTCCTAGACTATTGGCTCTTTAGCAAGCTACCATGGTGATCTTCATTAAATTTCATATGCAAATGTGTTAGATTCTTGTGATTTTTACCCTCCAATATACTCCTCTTGCACTGTGCCATGGGTTCCTTGACTCCTGGCTTTTCTCACTTCTGCTAGACAATAATTTTTGGACTTCCTTTATTTATGTAGGTCCTTGCTGCTTTACATGTAGCTAACAGAGTCCCAATCTTTGTGTAACATGTTTGGAGGTGGTTAATTATGTTGGGCCTTCTCCAGGCTTCAATTATAGCAATGGTATTGGGGGTGGGATGACCTCCAGGAAAACTACCTCTGGCTTCTGAATTTTTAAAAGAATTGATAAGAAAAACCTGGAATTATAATAGTTGCTGCTTGTAAGGCTAGAATTTTTGAAATGCAGATTAATAATATTTGGAGACTTGGTTGTTCCACAGTTGAAGTTTTGTAAATGTTAATTTGTTGTTTATTCTGAAAGGCTTTAGTTGAAGTTTCAGTTTGCAATCTGCACTCATTTTACCTGGCTTAGAATATAAAACTATACATTAACTTACAAAGGAGGATCTGGCCAGTAATTCACACCTCCAAAGCACCTGTGCGTAATCCTTAACTTGTTCTCCCATCATTGCCACAGACTTATATCTAGAACACAAGTAAAAAATAGTCAAAAACAAGGAAGACCAGTTTGCCTTTATTTATAAAAAAATTTAATGAAAAGTACAATCGTTCAGATGGAGCTACAAATCCTGGTGGTTCACAATGGTTTGATTCTTTTTTAAGAGGACTGTACATAATTACCTGTAAAACATAACTCTCTCAACATAAGTTATACTGCATTATACAAATGAGCAACAAATCATTCATAACTGGTTGTAACCTGCTAGTGACCATCAAGTTACATTCAGGAAGTTACCAAAGTCACTTCGAGGGGGCAAAATTTTATATTTATTCTTAAAGGGAAGTGTTGTTTACTTTCTATAAAGTATCATTGAGTTGGGGTCCAAGGGGAATAACAAGTGTATTATTTTCCATGATTACCTTCTTGTTATACATTTGTTAAAATAAATATCAACATTTGGTATTATTTTCCATTTCAGAATGTTTTACCATCAGTAACTGGGTATTTCTCACAACATAGCTGATTGGTAAGTAAACTTTCATTGTTTCTAAATTGCAATTCATAACTTGAAGTGCAAAGGAATCATATATTTCTATTGATTTTACCAAATTTTAAATAGAAAGTAAACCTAAGACTGTGGCAAGTTTACCACCTCAAGTATTAAAATTGAAAAGAATATATTTTGACATTAGTGAAATTATAGAAGAATAAGAAACATGATTCCATTATAAGTATTGATAGATATTTTGAATGACTTTGCTGGACAAGGTTAGAAGTATTCAAAGGACCTGTTTAAAAGTCTTAGTAGAGAGCGATTTTTCCAAAGAACTTCTGAGGAGACTGAAAGGGTGATAATGTGAGGGGGGCTACTGATGTTTCTTGTGTAGAACACTTTATTTGGGAAATGAAGAAAACAAACACATTTTCTGTCATTTTGAACTTTTGATTTATAGTTTGTAATGTTCTGTAGATTTGAAATGCATTTGCTTCTTATGGCCCAGTCTTAAAAACAGATATAGTTACTCTTGCATAGATCCACAAATAGAAGGAGAAACGCCCTTTGCGGATATGAGTAAAAATGCCTCTCTTTGTCAATTAAAGCACCAAGATCAGAGCTTCAAGTGAGCATAGGTTTAAAGTTTTGCCTTTTTGTCTTCTGGTGAGACTGTAAAATTTCTAAAGGATAGCATTGTGGCCTCTGAGAACTCTTAGTAGGAGGCATCTCAAGGACAGGGTGGCAGGACAAGGCTATATTGGTAAGATCCTCATCAAGTCAGACAGGGTCTGAAAGAGCTGAGTTTTCTCCAGGTCAGCCTACACTGAAATGCCCTGGCAAATATACTAGAGAGGAAGGAGGAGGGAGTGACTTGCCTGGCTCTCTTCTGCCTGGCTCTACCCAGGCCTATTTAGTCATGAACAACATACTCATCCAAACCTTTAAAAGTTATTCTCTTGACTTCACTTTATATGAATGTTCATAAAATGATGAAAATCATCTCCTAGGTGATAATGAAGGCTTTGTAAGTGGAACTTTCAATATACATTGCACAAATTCCATAGTTGTCACTCTGTTGTTGTTTCTTAATCTGTCACCTCTAAACATACTATCTTGCCTCTGAAGGCCACGGCCTTTAGGATTGTAACTCCCTCCCTACTTACTCCCATGCTTCACTGGTTTTCTGCTCAGAAAGAAACTCCTATCAGCCTGAGCCCCAAGCTCAAGGGACAGGCTTGTTTGGTAACTTTAATTTGTTGCTCCCTTTCATTCACCACAAAATGATCTCATCATAGAAGATCCAGAACTTTGTACTCTTGTTGGCCTGCAAAAAAATCGGGTTCCTCCCGTATTTCTCTACAGCACAGAGGAAGCTCTTTCTGGTTCTGTGATCAGAGACCTTGGGCATTGCTGTTTCTTTTCCTGTGAGTGTATTTCACTTCTAGGTATGAAGATTTAAACTATTAGGACAGTGCTGTGTGTTTGCATTTCTTCTGTTTTGGTAAATGAGAAGCTCCTTGGGAAAGAACACTTTTCCCACTACTGAATAAATATTGATTTTCATTTTTAAATGATACATGATCATTAAAAATAATTTGAAAAAATACATAGGAGTAAAATGAAGAAAAATTAAAGTAATTATTTTTATAATTCAAATCCAACCACTAAGAACTATTAAATATATATTCTAAGTCTCATTTTCCCCTGAGGACATATTTTTTACATGCTATAGTCATAATGTCTATATATTTTAAGTATTGATTTCAGAATTTAACCTATGAATTTTATGTTTAGTTACAAAGTCTTTATAGATGTTTTAAGTAAATAAGTAAATACTATTCTTATAACCTAAATGCTCAACAAAAGCATTATTTTTAAATATTTTATATCTCCGTAATTCCTTGCATATGTACAGTAAATGAATCAGTCAGTGAACAAAGAGTAAATGAATGAAAGTTCTAATGAGTATATATTTTTAAGTTTATTTAATGATTTCAAATGCACAAATGTAGGCAGATTACTGGAATGAACCCCCTGTACTCATTGTCCATCTTATTCAGCAGGGAACCTGTGCCCTATCTGTTTCCTACTGCATTGCCATGCTATTTTGAAGCAAACGCAGATATCATAGCATTTAATTAATTAATATTTCAGGCTCATCAAGACATTTTTACATGCTGATGCTTTTAAAAGTTTCAGTAAAATAGTTCTAGTCATTGTATGGAGCACTGTTTTTCTTCTTAGTGTCTTGGCCTCATACTTCCTAACACGTAGCAATTGGTTATAAAATCACATCAGCATGTTTCATAATGTCTACAGACCAAAGGGCAGTTTGGTTGATGAAGGAGAGAGTTCAAAGTTTTGACTAGGTTTCTTGGGGCAAGTGTTTTTCTT